GGGGGAGAGGGGGGGGGAGAGGGAGAGGCTGGCCAGAGGGGAGGGTACGGAGAGCAATAAGTTTGTGGTAGGCTAAGTTATTCCGTAATAAAGTACGGCTGGCCAATAAGATATTCCGTATTACAACGCCCCGCCCCGCCGTCTGGTCCCCCTACCGCCTTTGCGGCGCCCTGCGGTCTGCTGAGCCCTGTGGCCCCTCTAGCGCCGGCCCGGGGCGGGGCCCGGTCGCCCCGGCGCAGCTCTATGACCGGCTTGCCCAAACCTCAAACTCTCCCCTCCCCCTCTGAGCCTGCAGCATGTTGTCCCAGTAGAACGTGCCGGACGCGTCGCCCTCTGCCCTCGGCCCCCAGCGGTAGGCCCCTTTTGTAAGCGGCAAACTTGCGCTTCCGGCTGGCGACGCAGACCGCGGAGTGCGTTTCCCTATAATCGCCATCGTGTTGTGGAGTGACGTACACATTGGAAACACTACAACGTGACATGTGTCGCGTTTCCTGATGCACTCTCCCCGCGATGCCCCTAGGATTTCGTAGGATATCTTTTTACTTGGAGTAAAGTGCATCGAGAAGCGTTCTCTCCTGAGGGTAACATGTGACTCATGCCACACTTTTGGCTCGCTCGCGAGCGGACTCGGTGGGAAAAGATCAGAAAACGCTCCATGCTGCGCACTCTCGTGGCAGAATGCGTTTGTAAATGCCTTCTGTCTGTCAATTGTTTATAAAATATGCCATTATTTATTTTCGTTTCCGATGAATGTTCTCCGTAGGAGTTTCCTGCATTTTTATACAGTAAGCCTTTTTTGTTGGGTTGCGTAATCCAAAGCCCATAGGATTTGTCAGAAGTGTCCTTGGCACCAGTATCCTCACGTCAATACGAGTTCACATCTGTGTACGATCACCTTTGAATGCGGAGCATTTTTACTACGTCTTGTGCAGGAAACACGTGAATGCGGAAAATCTACACAAGACCAGACGCCCTCTTTAACAAAAAATAAAATAAGAAGACAGAAAAGGCGGCACGGCACGACGTGCTGGAGGGTCGGGGCGTGCTGCTCTCCGAGGCGGACTAGTCGCACTTAGAGTACTCGGCGCTGCTGATGAGCATGTGGTGGTGGCGGCGGCTGGTGGCGCGGTGGTTGTTGTCCCGGCGCTCCTGCTGCTGGTGGTGAGCTACCGGAGGTGCGCCGGAGAGGGGGTGGCTGCTTCTGCGGGCATTTGCCGGATTAGATGGAATGTGTGTGTGTGTGTGTGAGAGAGAGAGAGAGAGAGTGTGCGCGAGCGAGAGAGAGAGAGAGAGAG